GGGATCAGAGAGCCATTTGAGTAGAGGGGCGCCCGCTGGATTGTTGCTAAATAAGACTCGCGGTGGTAACGTGGTGACCAAAAAGTATTTGTAAAGGGAAAGTTTTTGCATTAAACAGTGCTGTGTAATCATATGTTCATTGTTATATGACAAAAAGTTTAACAAAATCATGAAAGAACCGCAATGTACAGAGATGGGTGACCGTACTCTAAAGGAACTACATTTCTTGGTGGAATACTTGTTTATGTCAATTATTATTATTAATAAATAATTTATCTGTATTTCTGTGTATTTTATGATATTTTATGTTGGTCACCATTTTAGAAAAGCAAAAAGCCACTTGAGGCTGTGCGTTTTAGTGCGTTTTGTGTGTTTTGGGCACTCCACTTCACATCGTGTCTAAGAACACCCTTCCCGTGATAAAATTGCAGCCTCTACACATATATACATATATATATATATATACACAGACAGCTACATGTTCAGACTCTGTAGAACTGATTACAAAAAAAAAAAAATATGCAGCTGTCCAGTGTTCTACAAGTACTGATGATAGCCAGGTCAGGATATATTCAGAAAAACATTTAGTGACATAATTTATCACATTAATGATGACATATCATCATAATGCCCACCACTAGGAAAAGTGCTTCCCCACTCTGGAACGAACTTTGAGAGATGATGTAGGATCATCTCTCAAATCAATGGTTGGAAAAGCAAAGCTCAGACAGGAATGAGTTACTGTAGATCAGTTGTCTGCTTCAAGCAGGAGAACACAGGGCCAAATCCCAAAGCAAGCCAACGAGGGGAAAATAAAACAAAGAAAACAATCAAATTGCAAAAGAAAGAGATGTAAAACAACAGTATACAAGTCGTGATGAGAGAAAGAGCCGGGGCAGAAAAAGAGAGAGAGTGATAAAAAGCTCCAGGACAGTAAAAGAGAACAGATGCAATTAGGCAGGTTGGCGTCAAGTTTTATTTGCTCGGGGACTGGGTCAAAGAACCCGAGTAACCTTGTAAATCCAAAATTCCTCCTCCAGCCCCATCTCCCGTTCTCCAGATGGTACGCTCGATAAAGACGGCCTGCGCTGCCAGAATTCCCCAGGAGTCTGCGGGACGAATCCTGAGCGGGAGGGGAACACCATGCATGTGTGCGTGTGCACAGCGTTCCCTCAGGCTACTGCCAGCGCCATGGCAGCTCAGCAAAGCCAGCGAAGAGCATGAGCTCACGTTGCCTTTCTTTCAGCTCCAGCACACTCGCACAACAACAACAAGACGCCCTCGCTCACAAACACGCGCCAGTCCACTTAAGAAACCCGTAGACAATGGTGCAAGGTTCAAAAGTTCACATGCTGGATGAAGTGACTTCTGGGATTTATACAAGCAGTGCCTGTTAAATATGAATCATCAATTTGAAGAAGACAGGACTATGATTAATGTTTTCTTGCCCGAATCCGAACAACTCACAGGCTCGAGAGGAAAAACACCCATGCTCATAACAGTAGGGAAAAACTATGGAACTCATCATTCATCAGAGCAGCAATATCCTGCGAAAGGCAGATAATTTTCCTCTCTGTTTGTGTCCAAACACTGGGCAGCAACTTCAAGCAGGAGCGAGTGGGCACTGCGGAGCATGGTGCGTGCCCCCCGAAGGATCTGGAAGACTGCGAGGCATGCGAGCACGCTGTGTAAACACGGCGCGATCACTTTCAGATGTGTGTCGGCTGCCCTCTCATCAATTCAGCCTTCACACTTGTGCTCCTCCGCCAGCGTGGCCCAAATTACTCCCTCTACAGTAAACAACATGAGCACAAGATGCGTGAAAAGCCTGGAATTCCGCAACCCTCCGGAAAAGTTATACAAAGGGCAAGGAGAAAGAGACCGCCACTAGCGTGCAGATACCAGAGAACTACGTGCAAAACTGAAATCACATTAACAATCCAACAGCATATGTAGCACAATTAGGGCTGTCACTATCAGTTACATTAGTAATCAAGTAATCTGACAATTGTTTTTGATAATTAATCGATTAAGTCAAGTTTTAAAAGAGGCCAAACAATAAAAATGGACTTAACTGTATAATAGCAAACCAGCATAGCCTCTCAAACTTCACAACATACTTCACAGGAAGAGTTTATATATATTTGAAAAAATATCTCCAAAACAACATCTTCACAAGATGAGGTAAAAACATTCTTCACTCTTTTCTTAAAGAAATTGTGGAGCATTTCTATTGATTCATTAACCATAACATTTTCACAAGATGTAAAGAACAGCTGCTGTGCTCAAATGATGAAGAAAGTCATGATGGATCAGGAAAGACTCTTCTTCAAACTGTTGCCACAAAGTAAGAAGCATAGAATTGTCTAAAATGTCTTTGTTTGCTGTAACATTAACACTACCCTTCACCAAAAATAAGGGTTCGAATTGGGTGCTATTTTTGTAAAATGCTTCCATTTCACAAAAATAGCACCCAACAGTTGAAAGGAACAGAACTACCAGGGCAGAAATTTCACAAAATGACTTGTGGCAAAGGTGGCATCCTATGATAGTGCCGCATTTAAATTCACTGCTCAGTAATTAGGAGAGATGTCCACATACTTTTGGCCATACAATGTGTATGTACACACACACACACACACACACATACGTGTAGTATGTGTGTGTATATATATATATATATATATATATATATATATATATATATATATATATATATATGTAGAGAGAAAGAGGAAGCCCAGCATGACTTATGATTTATCAGGTAAGTGAATTTTAATGAATTAATTATTTAATCACATTAATTGAGTGATTGTTACAGCTCTAATAATGATAAATGCATATTGCTGGAACATAATCGTGTACCTTCAAAAAATTTCTAAAATGGTAGGAGTTTTCAAATTATGTAAAAAAGCAAAAAAACGACAAAAATGGAGATATAAAATGTTTGTGCTACTGCAACGATATGATGTACTGTACTATGTAAAAGTCAGAGATCACCAATTATCTATTTCATTGCAAGTCAAAATGGTCTTTAAGTACAACTGAGTTTTTTCATAAAATATTTGAGTAGATTACAAATAAGATATTTCACTTACATTTGCACGGCCTTCAAAAATGACCTAAAGATACAGGGAAAATTAGACACCTAACAGCCTTGCAAGAGCTGGGAGACCACAAAAACTGTCACCATCAGACAAACAGCACTTAAAGAGGAAAAAATCAAGCTCCACTTTTGCTTTAGATCTGAAAAAAATCTACTGTTTCTGTCCATCCCTCCACTGTGAGAAGACAACTCAACACTATGAGCCTGAAAGGGTGTGCAGCTGTCACATCGTACTGAGAAAAAAAGAAAAGAACATTTGCAAAGCAAACAAAAAAGCTATGGATTTAATAACCCCAGAATCCCCAAAAAACGTGTTTTTGGATTGTGAGGAGCAGAAAATGCAACCAACTTCTAAAACTGAACTTTGATGTTGATGAAAAATATCCCTGCAGATTTCTTTGAAAGACTGAAAGCAAGTCTCCTGAAGAGAATGGAAGCTTTAAAAAAGGGCAAAAATTAAGATATTTTTTTTTAGTTATGAGGACTTCTGGGCAATTTTATTTGTTGAATGTTTACAGAATGTTTTCTGTTTTTTTTTGGCCATTTTTGACCAGAAATGAAATGAATGAAGGGTGGTCTCTGACTTTTGCACAGTATTATATATGCTTGGAGATCACAGTGCGGACACAGTGCAGACTATTACAGTCTTGAAGTCTCACGCCCTTGCGAAGTGGGTAGGAAGTAATCAGAGCATTGCTTCGCTCTAGTCTAGGAGAAAGAGTTATTGAGCTGCTGCCACAGACAGCTGGGCTGTGAATCATGTTCCTGAGAGGAACTTTGAGAGGGTGAGCCATTGTGTTGTCGGAACTTTTAAATATAGGTCGTACATTACAGCCACTGGTACTGTTATTCCACTGTGAAAGGATTAATACATACACACGTGTCCCTCACTTCCCATGTAACAAAGAGGGACCTTTCAACTCATGGCAGTGTGTCAGCCCACAGGCCATTAAGCAGGTGAGAGATGAACTACCTGCTGCTATCTATCTCACATAAACACCAAATCACAATCACAAATCACATAAGCAGGACACCATGGAACACAGACAATCACTTTTTTCACTTTTCCCTTCATGTCATCCATCAGAGAGCAGAGAAAAGAGTGAAATGCTCAAGTGGTGTGAGGTTATGAAGTTATATTTGACCCCTAGATACTATATGAGGTCAGATGTATGCATACTGTACCTCATAATAATTATGTACACCTCCTTTGACCTATGCTTTTTGTCCACTTTACTTTGTTAGCACCCTTTTACCCTGTTCTTCAATGGTTAGGAGCCCCACAGGACCCTCACAGAGTAGGTATTACTGTGAGGTGGATCATTCTCAGCACTGCAGTGACACTGACGTGGTGGTGGTGTGTTGGTGTGTTGCTGGAGTTTTTAAACAACTCAGCGTCACTGCTGGACTGAGAATAGTCCACCAACCAAAAATATCCAGCCAACAGCGTCCTGTGGGCAGCATCCTGTGACCACTGATGAAGGACTAGAGGATGACCAACACAAACTGTGCAGCTACAGATGAGCTACCAACTCTGGCTTTGCATCTACAAGGTGGACCAACAAGGTAGATGAGCCTAATAGAGTGGACAGTGAGTGGACACAGTTTTTAAAACCTTACTGCCTATGTGTTGAATTTAACATATTAGGGGGAAAAAAACTGAAATATGGCCTGTGCAAAAGGTATAACACATTTTATATTTATGTTTTATTTTTTCCAATATGTTAAATTGAGCAAATTAAAAGAAATTTTGCATTAAAATTTGCAAAAAAAAAATGCCACATTTAAGTATGCTCTCTGTAGAAAATGTGTTGACCTAATTTTCCACAAAACATGTAATTATGGCACATATGTATCTTTAATGTTTGATAGGATGAGTATAATGGGCACTAACCTGCTCGTGGTACTCGATGCCCATGCTGAGTGTGTTGATGAGGATGGCGATCATGATTCCTCGTCCAAAGTACTTGCTGTCCACGATCTTACGAAATGTGTCGCACACCAGTCTCCAAAAGTGCACCACCTTCGCTGCTCGAGCCCCTAGCTTAAACTTCTTCTTTCTTTTGGGGTCTCTGTTATCCCGATAGTGGGCATCCTGGGTGAATTCATACACACCCTCGCTGTCTGAATCTGCAGTCTCATTCGCTTCTGTTCCCTCTGAGTCATTACCTGCTGCTTTAGTACAATAAGGGCAGGTCTCAGGGTCAAAAGCCAAAGTAGCATCCAAGTTTGTGCCGCTGCAGTTGGCATTGGAGAACTTGCGTGGGATCTTCCCTGAAATTCATTTGGGAGAAGATTAGGTTTTTTTGGAGAGGAACACAATAATTTAGTAGGTCACTTTTTAAGCTATACATCTCCTTCTGCTTTAAACCTGCAAACATGTACAGGGACTGCTTGGCAAAGGCATCTGTCAACATACATGCATTTAACATTAAAGTGTGTAAAGCAGGGTGGTCTATTATTAATCAATCCAGAATACACAGAATACAAAGAAGAAACATAGAAATGGCTGTTTGTTTCAAACCTCAGGGTAAATCAGAACACACAGTTAATGTGTTCAGTAGGGACAGAGTCACATGTTACAAAACCAGAATCTACTAAAAATGAAGAAAAAACTTAAAAATGACATCTTGTCACTTTTAGTCGAACATTAAAAACACACAGAAGAAGTATCTGTATGGCAGCATTTTGTTTTTATAGTGTGCAGTAGAAGTCAAAACCTAGAAAATGAAGATGAAGCGTATAGCAGTAATTTATTTTTAAAGCTGCACAATGTAAGTTTTGGGGATTTGGAGTTTTGGTCTAATTGCTTGCAACATGCGAAAGAAGAATTTATAACACTGGTTGTGCTTCTGACCTCTTTCCCGAGCAGAGGAATCTGATGATTGCAAGGGTGTTGAAGGAGTATTCAAGCTCAGTTAATACTTGGTGAAAAACGTGTCTTCCAAGGATGTAAGTGAATTATCTACTGTTGTCATCATGTTTTCATCAGTATAATGTTTAATGTATAATTGCATTTAAGAGCTAAACATCGAGCCGGACCTTCTTTTTTAAGCTGTGCGTGTGACATTAACATGTAATGCAGTCCGAAAAGTTAGGGCTTTTTCTTCTAACTTAATGATGCTACTTCTTTCAAGTTTTAACAAAAAAAAAGTCTGACAAAGTGCAGCTTTGGAAGAAAGCCAAAACTTAGAAAACAAAGAGGAAACAAGGAAATCAAGAAATGACAATCTGACTTGCATTGCGGCAGTGTAGTAGAGATAGAATGGATAGCAGTATTAGGCCCAATCCCATTTCTTATTTTTAACCCTACCCCTTGCTTTTGAGTGTAACCTTGCACCTTGGAACTGAGTTACAACGGGTAGTGGTTGAAATCTTTCCCTACAAAATGGGACAACCCTTAAATAAAAATTTTGAACAGGGTACTAGTGGTGCTCTATAGACGACCTTGCTGGTCTGCAGTGATAGCAGAGGAGGGTAAAGTTCAGCTGATATTATCGCCCACCCCTAATTCTTTGGTAATGTGAAGGTGAAGTCAGCTATTCTCCAGCTTCTTGTTCAAATTTTCCCATTCCACTTTAAATGGAGCAGCAGTTACATTCTGGCTTTTCAGGCATCAGTACTGCTGGATTATTTTGAGGTGGAACAGGAAATTTAGCAAGCTAGCTACCAAGACATTAGCATACTATTCGTGATTTTCCATGCTTGTTATGAAGGAAAGGACATAATACTTTTAACTGACATTGAACTAAGATAATACTTAATTCATTTTTTTCTCATAATACTCCGTTTGGAGTGTGCCTCCCAAAAACCTCCGCTTGGAGTGCCATGTAGACCTAACACTTCACCCCACCCCTCCATCTCAACAAAAATCGGGACACCCTACCCCTAGGCATGAAGGCACAAAACGGAGGGCTAAGGGCTACGTGGTAGGGGCAAGGAGTGAAATGGGTTTGGGCCTTAACATAACATAACATTAACGTAGCTGTGTTTTAGCATTTTGTATGCAAATACATTTATGTTCTTAGCAGAAGTATAAATCAGCCTTAACTCTTTATAAAAATAAGATTGGTTTAACTCATTTACCTGCAGGTCCTTGTGTGTCCAGCAGACACTGAGAGGTGTTGATGGGATTGGGGGGGATATTGAGGCTAGTCAGGACGCTGGCAGTGCAGCTGACTCCTCCTGGCTCCAGGCTCCTCTGCCTGAGGTGCTCCAGAGGCAAGCAGGGCTGTAGCGTTGGATAGTTTTTGTGTGCCGGTGCTGCAAATGGCACTGAGTTCCTTTTGTAGGCCTGCAGGGCTGAGGGTCCAGGTGAGGGGGTGCAGCGCAGAGGCTCCAAATGGCAGGCCGTGTGATAGACACTATGTACTGATTCTGCACTACTAGGGCCCAGCACAGCAGAGCAGGATGTAAAGGAAGGGTCCTGCAGGGGGGTGATGGAGGGCAGAGTGAGGCGTCCCGAGCCAGCGCCTGCACCATTACCTGTTTCTATTTCTCTGGTCCTCTCATTGCGGACGCTTCCATTGCCAAGGTGGTAGTGGTGGTGGTGGTGGTGATGGTGGTGGTGCACCAAGTGGTGGATGGACCCCTGACGTTGCTTCTGCCTCCGTCTCTTGGTGTGCTGAGGCTCCAAGGCAGGGGAGGCGAGTACCCTTAGCCCCGCCCGGCGTGCAGCCACCCGTGTTAGGTGACCCAGCTGCCTGACAGCCTTCCGCACAATGTAGACCAAATATTTCAGGAGTTCATCATAGCAGCTGCCTGGCTCAGAGAAGCTGGCCAGTGTGCTGGCATTGGACATGAAGCGCACCCTCTGCTCCTTCATCAGCTGACTCTCGCGTTGCTTCGTCTCTGAGAACTGAGTAGCTATGACAACCAGACACAGGTTGATCATGAAGAAGGAGCCCACCTAGAGAAAGAAAGGTAGGATACCTTTTTTTAGCTGCATAGAATTCAACAGCTGTTGCATGAGCCCATACTTTAGCTGACCTATACAAGCTCCGCCCACTTCCAGTTTCCACTGGGAGGTTGGACAAGCATCATAGAATGCTGACAAAAATTCTATTCAACCTAATAAGAAATTCTAGAGACAAAACTCTTTTTTTTGCCACAATGCAAGCATTCAAAGTTGTTTTTCTGTCACAAAATAATGTTTTTTAAATAACACTTTACATGTACTACAAGTACATAAATCATTCATGGCATATTCATAAACAGCGCAGTAAGACTCCAATATGATTACATAATCATTTTCAAACATTCATTAAATATATTCACTGATGGGTAGTACACATATCATGTAATGAATTAAAACCTCAGTAATGCTTAGTGTATACTTCATAATAATGATCATAAATACATTAAAATCTATTCAGGGAATAAAAATAAAATGAAAGCATGATATAACCCTACTCAACTGTTGAACGTTGTACTTATTATTAAAAGTATTTACAGCTATAAAACATTCATGACTGATACACAGTCTAAGCAAATTGCAATACCTACCCTTATATGAACTGTTCCTGAAGCATTTTTGAATTGTGCTGTAATATTACAGTAAAATTCCATTGTCACAGCTTCAGGATTATCACCTCATGAAATATTAGTGAGTATTTTATGAATGTATGGGAATGTGAAATGTCCTCCATTAGCACTGCTTTTGTTTGTCATGAATGCTTTTTAAAGGTTGAAGGTTTTAAGGGATCAGTAATGAATGCAGTATGGGTCTCAGTATGTGCTCAGAATCATATTTGCTCCCTGAAAAGAAGGAATGTGTATTTATGATCATATAATGAAGTATACACTAAGCATCACTGAGTGTTTTTTCAATCTATTACATTATATGTAATATATGTTATTATACTTAATGCACTGAATGCGCACACACATTTTTTAACGCACTTAACCTTCTGGGTCAAGAGGGGAGCTGGAGCCTATCCCAGCGGTCGTTGGGCAGAAGGCAGGAGACACCCTGGACAGGTCGCCAGTCCATTGCAGGCCAGTCACATACATTCACACGCACACCTAGGGGCAATTTAGTGTGTCCAATTGGCTTGACTACATATCTTTGGACTGTGGGAGGAAACCCACACAGACACGGGGGGAACATGCAAACTCCACACAGAAAGGACCCTGGTCGCAAGGCCAGGAATCAAACCCAGGCCCTTCTTGCTGTAAGGCGACAGTGCTACCCACGCCACCACCGTGCCGCTCTGCATATTGTTTTGCTATGGATGAGTCATACACATGTGAGCCAGCCAGCTAAAGAGTTAAGATCATAGTCTACACCACTAGCTATTGTCACACAGCTGCATTTACTCTGTGGGATATGCTGACAATATTTTCCTTGTCAGACTCATAACATATATCTTGACATTTTGGTAAAAACAGAAAGTGCAACAACGTATTGCCTTGAGCAACTCAAAAGCAAGCTGCAAGCAGCAATGGAGACAAACACCACAAATCTTTAGATCCTAATGAAAAAATGTCTCATTAGGTTAAATAGTATATAACAAATCATCTGAAAAGTTTGTGCAACCCAGCGGCAGTCGCTATGAAAGATGTGTGCAGAGTATGGATAGGTTGATTTCTCAATCTAATAAATATATAACTTAGAAATCAATTTATACATCAAATAAGTTACAAACTAATTTCTAGTAGTTATTAAACAGTACGTTTAATAACTAATAATAAGTCTACAGTTTAGGTGATTACCAAAATGCGAAGTGGAATATGAAAACATGATTTTATTAGTAGTTTCAATACAACACAGCAAAAGAATTGAAAGAATCGTAAGAAGTGCTTTGTTCAGGTTTTTAAATAAGGCCTTGTGACATGAACACAATATTATACAGTTAATACTTAATACAAAGCAATCAAAAGCTCATAACACTAAAGCTGTGTAACATGATTGCCACTACTTATACTTGACTGCATCTCTTAGTGGCCTCAGAATTGAAGAGTTAAATAGTTTGGGATGAGACTGAGCAATCAGCATTGCATCTATTACATTACAGCTAAACGCCTTGGACACATAAAACCGTCAATACCCTGAGCACATACTCCCTGTACAACTTTATTTCTTCTGAAATAACTTTTTGCCATTTAAAAGTGTAAGCCTGAAGAGATAATTCTCCTCTAACTAGGTTGGAGTCTGGCTAAGCCTCTGAATCACGGCGGCCGGGCAGCGCGGCGCTACATCCTGTCTAAAAGAGCAGAGCGCTGGATAACAGGAGAACATCCCTGTCTTTACATGTGATCTGCTCAGGTCAAGACAGGTAAGAGCCAAGAGCCTCTTACTATGATCAGGAGGATGAAGTAGATGAAGTTGTAAAACGAATGCGCATCCATCACGAAGTACATGATGTCCACCCAGCCCTCCAGAGTGATGACCTGCAGGGGAAAGACAAAATTGAAGAGTAAAATGTAAGGAATAGAGAGATACTTCAGCTCTCTAGCGATGCTATTGTATGTACAGCCATTTGAAAGATTGGAATCACTGGATATATTCCTAATTTATATGAAATACTAACTTATACAATGCTGACAAATCAAATATGGTAAAGAAAATGATACTGTAGTCATCTAATTGTTTGTTAAGCTATTTGTTAAGATATATACATATATATATATATATAGATATATATATATATATATATATATACACATCTTATTTTTTTAATATATATATATATATTAGGGGTGGGAATCTCGATGCATCTTTTTTCTCTATACAGGATCTCTATCTTCCTACTGTCTGAGGACTTGGTAGGTTTAAAGCAAAGTATTTGTAACGATCCATAATGTAAATGCATAACGGATCATTACAAATACTTTGCTTTAAATATCTAAAATATCTTTTATTAATAAATCAAATGGAAGTGATGTGGCAAGTGAACTAGACGGCTCTCATTCAGAGACGCTGCTGCCACTCATCTGCGATAAAAACAGAGATTAAGACGAACATTTGCATTTGGAGGACTTATTCGCATTTATAAGCAGCGCGGTTGGTTAAATCTGCAACGAGAGTTAAAAAAAAAGTTGCGAAAATGAACTCGCTTCTCTTTCGAATTTTCCCGTTCCACCTTAAATGGTGCAGCAGTTACATTCGGCGCCTAAGGCAGAATTTAAGGTGAAACGGGAAAATTACAACGAGAAGCTGGCGAATGAGAAGCGACCTCAGCTTGGTAAAACAGCCGGATGCTGAGACATTTTACAAGAAACTCTTCTAGTTTTGAAAAAAGGTTTTCTGGCGGAGATGGAAGGAAAGCTGCTATAGCTGAAGCTTAAAGTAGAGCAAAGTAAATCTGCGCTCTTGTTTATATTTTTAGCCCATACTACGACATTAAGACATACTGGACATTAAATGTTGCGGCTCCCAAGGTGGTTTGACTTTGTTGAAAGGACAAAACGGCTCTTATTAACATTTGTGTTGTGACTCCTGATCTAACCTGGCTTTAATGCAGAGGGAGCCGGTCGGATTTCTCGCTCATCCACTTGTGTTTTTGTTATGTGCCGCCACAGACTGTCCGGGCGCTGCGCTTACCCACTTCCAAATTCCGCCTTTTGTGTTCCGTCAACGTTACGTTATAAATTAAATATTTAGAAAATCGATTTTTGACATTTGTGCATCTAAGAATCATCAAAGAAGAGTTTTTCCCGCACCCCTAATATTTGCTTACTTATAAAAATAAACTTGTGATTCCTTATTTATTTATTTATTTACCCACCCTTATGTTCTTTTTAATTCAATGCTTATTACTGTTTTTAATCCCTTGTTCTCTGTTCTAATCATTGGCCACATTGCAAATTAGGGTCACCGTCAATATACTCTGACTTTAAATACTGGACGATTGACTGACTGACTGACTGACTGACTGACTGACTCATTGATTGATTGATTGATTGACCATTTCCAAACTCTCCTTGTGGCAGTACAGTATAATTTGTATTTATTATCCAATATCTAGTTTAGTGTTCATCATATCAGTGTTTCATCATATTAATTAAAGTGTGTTTCTGGCACAATTTAACAAATCCATGCAATGGCTGGAGGCATCCAGGAGACATCTGGAATCAAATGTACTATAAACTAGCCTAAAAGATCAACTCCATTTTTGAAAATAAGAAATTCTTGTTACTTTTTACTGGATTTATGATAATGTGCACCTATTCTAATGATATACAGTGTTTTACAAGCAAAAACACTTAGTTGCAAAATTAATTGCCCAGTGCAGCTGTTGTTTCTGATCCAAACAGTCATCATTAAGAAGAGGTGAGATTTCAAAGCAGGACCTGAAAGGCCTGCAGGCTCTGAGGAACATCCTGGTGCCAAATCACCCTCTGCTCTCTCTGTCCCATTTGTCACTCCTCACACAGTTGAAGGAGAGCAACACCTCTGCAATTTCAGGTTACTATCGAGCGCCCTAGCAGGACGAGGAGCTGTCGGACAGCTAATTCATTTTAGAGCCAGTAAATTAGGTGTCTAGCACCCAGGCCACGGTATTGGCGACTTGCAAACGGAAGATTAAGCCTTCAATCCCTGCCCGTCTTCAGGACATGGCAGCTTTCTAAATATTTAATAGATTTCTATTTTGATTCATTCCTAAAATGTGACAAGCATCCCGACTGAGACGTGTACTGCACTTTGTGTGACTTGAATTTAAGATTAAGATCAGGGGAGCATACTGTAATATGCTGAAAAATTAAAAACTTTATCGTTGCTCTGAGATAAAAGGCTATACAAAGTTAACAGGGACAGCTGAACTCTGTCATCATCTTCAGCTGCTAAAATCCCAAGACACAGTCCTTGGACTCACTGTTTGAATACAGAATGAAGTGTCAGAGCAGGAGAACACTGAAAGTTGGATATCGGTGAGCACAATGACAGGGCCGTGAAAGGTGTGCAAAGTTTTAACAGTACTGCAGTCACACCTTTTGTCATTGCTGAATTCATAGTCATAGGAAACTGCCTGGTGTGGGCATTGTGTCTACTAGGACTTCTGCAAGTTAAGCACTATTACAGCTAGATCAGCTTTACCAGTAGAGGTTCTATAATGTAATTTGTGAGGGACTGGCTGATTCGTACAGGATAAAGTAACGATCTTCATAATGTAATTTCCAACAAAACAATAACAATAACAACATGGTTTTGTTATTGCAGCCCATTAAGGTAAATTCCAATAGGGCTATTACTGAGGGTAGGATTGTCTTGACAGGTGGGTGGGCTCTGGCTTATGTCAATTTATGCAGGAGCCTTGTTAGCATCTTGCTCAACCAAGCTGGCCTCATAGATCAACCCCATAGGTGGGGTTTATTGTAATACACAGAGGGGCTAGTTATAACAGTCACTAACTAGAACAGTCTGGTAAGTCAATGTAAACACAATTAATTCATTACAGTTCTGTGTTGCTTAAACCAGACAAGCTTTCTAACCTAAAGACATTAAAATATATGCACAAAAAAGCTGTGTCAAATGTGGCAAGTTTATTTTTGCCCACTGGATACAAGAGCATAAAAATGTAAATATTTGAAAATTAATGAATTCTAATTAGTTGTTTTGAATTCATTTTAGGGGGATATGGACATCCCTCATGGTTTTCTTTGGCTGGCTTAATTGTAACACTGTAATACAACTAACCCCACTGTGTGGAGGCCATATTCTCACCAGGCCAACTCTCACTGTGATTTACATCCTTCAGAATGGTGCTATTTTACAGCCACCCAGAGGGTGATTAAAATAATACAGGTGTGAATTCTGTGACTTACAGACACAGTAATTTAAAAATGTACAAGATTAAAAGAAAAGTACTATTTAATGGTTCAAAACCAGTATTCAGGGAGAATCTTGAGAAATATCAGTCAGATTGCTGTCAGAATTCACAGGTGAGGTTGCTATGGGAACACAAGAAGATGGCTAAAAGCACATTCTACTTAAACCTGTTCAACTACATAAAATATCTCTGTTACATTTTACCCCACGTTAGATTGTGCGTTGCTCTCCTATGTACTACTCTCTTAAATATACATCATCTAATTCAAAAGTGAGTTATGGGGTTGTGACTTGTCTAACTTCTTAGACAATTCAGATTTATGATGGATTAAAAACACAGAACAATCTTGTTGGGGGTCCCTTAAATTACTGTAGTTCCCCATGTAACACTAATCCAGCTCAAACAGGGCTCAAGTCATTAATACCAATCGACGTCCATGAATAAAACTCACCTGGAAGATGGCGATCCAGGCATAGCCAATGTTATCAAAGTTGATTGCTCCCTTGAAGGGGTTGACATCTCCAGCAGAACAGTTGGTGTAGTACTGGTTCCAGTTCACACAGGTGGTGTTGTCTGTGCTGTTGTAGGCTGCTATGTCCAGGCCACACTGCAGGCCCTCCTCGTGCAGTGTGGGGATGGAGCTGCACTGGCGCATTCCATTTTCTCGTGGCTGAGAGCAGATGAACGGGTTTTCGTCATCGTTCTCGGTGTGGTAGTAGTTGTGCAGGTCTAGATTTTGGGGACTGAGGGGAGACAGCAAATGAGTGACTGGTATTCAAATATATTTGATGATAGTTTCACCAGCATAATGGATCACAAATGAGATTGTTTTCAAAACAGACAATCTGGAACTGTTGTTTGAAAACTAGTGTTGCTGTGGTGTGGGTAAAGGTAACAGAGCAAAACAGGCAGGCCTGGCAGGTCCTGAAGCTAATTTAATCCTATGAAGAGTTGGCCATATAGGCTTATTTGATTGTATAAGTGATCACTGCACTAAAGATTACCATACTGCAATGCAGCAGAGTTGAGTAGCCTTGTTATTTTATAGCCTACCTACCAAATTTTAAAGTGGAATTTCAGCCTAAAACTAACATTTAATATGTTAATTGTGCTATTTAGTTTTCTAAAGTGCACCACTGCAGCCCTCAGTCTCATCTGTTCAATATTCTCTATTTTGTATTGTTTGTGGATTTTTGTCCATCAGTGTTCACTCACTACAATACCCAGCATGCACACCTCAAATACATCACATGAATTCAGGTAAAGTGAATCTTTAAACAAATATCCACATTTACTAAACACACAGGCTAAAATGCAAGCAAGTAAAACTGTAAAATACACTCCATTAACTTCAACTCAGCTTACACAAAAATGCCACAAAGTGATATTCTCAAGAAAAATAAATATGGAAAACAAAACAAAAATAACAAAAATAAAACCAGTAACAACAACATGGTTACTGTGATGATGTCCTTATTATTTAACAGCACATTGGGCAAAGCCAGCTGATTTTAAATGTGCCCATTAATTGAACTTACTTACTTAAAGTAAGTAACATTACTTCAGTCTCAGTATTATGATCTTAGTCGGATCAATTAAAAGATAAGGAAAGTTAAGATGACAGACTATGATATCAGACTCCTATAAAGCAATATCTGCTGACACATCTAAACAAATTTGGCTAGGAAATTAATGTCATTCCTGTAAATATCATTTGCTTTTAAAGTGCTATGTGGTTTATCCCCATCCCACCTCTAGGCCTTTTAGATCCCCTAATAAATTGCTTTTGGATATTCTGCAGTTCCATTTCCATGGTTATGTTTTCATTCTTCTCCGTATTGTTGCACTACTGTAGCCTTCCTGTGATCTGTATTTCTTTTCCTCTTTCTGATTAAGTTTTATTTGAATGGTCGTGCAGCATTTGATTTCAAATATGCATAAAAAAAAGAAAAAAAAACACTTGACTGAAATGCAGTTTGAAGCCTAGACTACCTCGCCTAGGAGAAAATAAAAAACACAAAGCTGAGAGCACAATATTCCATCTGAGTGGCCCCCGCCATGGTGCCAGGCCTGATTGTAGGGCTGAACGTGCTCTGCCACCAACAAACACACATAAGCCAAAATATGAAGTCTGATGCGATGAAGAAGTGGTGCTGAGGGAAAAAGGCTAAAGTGAATACAATCATGAGTGGTGAACAATTCAGTAAATGGAAGCTTTGTACTGCTGTATACACAGTACAGAGTCAGCCCAAAGCTTGCAGCATTCTGCAACCCTTTACCTCAGTCTCAGTATCTCTTACAGTATGCTGGCCAAACAGCCATTTAAGCACCAGTCAGGCTGCAGAGGGATCAGCGCTAACTACCTCCAGAGGACAGGGGGGCCGAGCGAGGCCTAGCTCTAATGGTGCCTCCTTCTGACAGAGGATAATTGGGCCGTCTGTCAACACAAATTCACCTCAGAGCGAAAGTGACGTGGCGAATTAGCTGCACAAGTAGCTTCAATTACCCGGTGGGACAAATCCGGGCCTTCCTCGGCTCCAGGCCCCAATGAAATATTTATTTCTTAACAGCAATTTAACATTTTAGGATAGGCTTAATGTTACATAATCACCGCTACCAGCCAGTCTCTGCGCTGAAAAAGGAATCATTCAAGCTGAGCCACGATTCTGATAATCTATTTTCTGTTCCTTAATTCGCTGTGATTTGGTTTTGTGGTCAAGTGAATAACAGCACAAGATATCTCACTGAAGCTACTAAAAACAATTCACTCATACGTGAATGTTTTATATTCGGGTGGGGTGGAGACTGTTAAGTCGGATTTTCGTGCTGTGCTCAAAAAATGTTTCTGCAGTTCCTGAGACTCCGATGCATAACTTAGTAAGTATAGATGTATACTTATCTGTAGATAAATTATCTATTACAAAAGATGACTCTGCAGACTGTGGTTACTGCTAAAACATTCTTTCAGCATTGGCTCCCACCTCACAAACTGGGCACAATCTCTTCTTGAAATCCTATATTATAGCGTACTGTGTGATTTCAGCATTGCTTCTTTTGGTGTGATATTTTATCATGTATAATAACTCATTTATGTTTTAATTTATTTGTTTTACTTTTGATATGCATTGGAAACGGGGAACGGGGGAAGGAAAGTGGGGGGTGGCACTGAACGGAAATGGGTACTCTCTATTTTTTGGCCCATAAAAATTAATAACAGAAAAAAAGTTTTGCAAATGAGTTCATAAAAATCATAAAGAGCATGTAAATGTCTTTCAATTCTTGTCAGTAATACAGAGCTGTCAAACAACTCAAATAATTAATGTCTATTATTATATGTTTAGTTAATTGCAATTAATCATACCAAGCAGTGAATTTTGTTGAAGCTATATGCGTGGCCAAAATATGTTTAATCAGAATGCATTTATTACTTTCATTAATTCTACATCTTTTTCATTGTGGCAGGGTTCATATAAGCCTCAAGATAAAAACCAAGTGATTTCCACAATTGTACACAATTGCCTTTGTCCAGTGAGAGCAACAGTGGCTGCATATTTCAACCAGTAATATGTTACTTATGCAACAGAACACAAAGAGAGTGTTATCACAAATAACATCACACACACACAATCTCAAGTGTTCTATTATGTTTTATACAGCAGTTCTGCAAAATAAGTAAATATTTATAGCAAAAAAGCCACTAATATTATATCATATGTGCTTTTATATAAGCAATTCCTTCCATCAGAAAAAGTAGCATCCTTTTGAATTATGAGTAATACAATAAAATTATTTTAATATTGGACATTCGTTGGACTTACGACTTTCACTTCTTGATTTCTCATGAAATAAACACATAAAAATGATCAAACATATCATTTCTCACTCCTGAAAAAACAGATAACATACTGCAAATATACTATATTATACTTATATAATATTTTATATTGCTCACTGTTCAATTTTGCTGAACATAATTTGGAAATGCATATCATCAATGCTTTGCTTATTTAGAGACTGTCCAAACAGTGCACAACATATTTCCCATGTGTTTAGCTAAAAGAAGACAAAGCCCCATCAAGAGAGTGGCCTCCTTTAAGTCTGCTAGAAATCCCAGTTAAAGGAAGTCACTCAGTTTAGTACAAGTAATTTGGTGTGATTTTTGTCTTCTTTCAGTTAAATACAAATAAATGCATTGGGAAATAAAACTTCCTAAAAACATAAAGACGTCCACATTATGCACTTTTTAGATGGTCCCTTATTGACTAATGCATCAATGATCTGAGTTTCCAAACCATTATGTTTAACAAACTTTTCATTTTCTGCTGTATGTGGAAGAGATGTACTAAAGGCTGCAGAGCAGTTGTTACTTAGCAACCAGTGCTCGGCAGAAAGATATAGTTGTTGTGAAAAAAAGCACTATTATCACAAATTACAACATGGCTAGAATTCCTCTCAACCAATCAGATTGTGCTGCTGGAACTAGCCATCGTATAAATATCAAATACGTCACATTTACAGTCAATGGTTCCAACTCCTCTGCAATTCTAGCCTCTTGCTCTCGTTCATACAGCTCATATATTCTTGTTGGAGTGGAGGCTCCCCATGGGAACTGGAGCTTTCCACTTTGCTACTGCTTTGGTTAGTTTGCTGCTTGTTGATTTATTCATAGGTCTCCTGCAAACTCTGTCCAGTATAGTCAAGTCAGATATCGCTTGAAATGCTATTTAACAGCTGTATTTGAACGAGGGGGCTACAATGCATTATTAACAAATGAACTTTGACAGCAGGCCCATAATAACTTCAGAATTTTAGATCCAGCTGCTGAACACTTACAGGGAGAAGTTCTCGGGCAGGAAGCAGCGGTTTCGGAGAAGTCCTGCCCACAGCTGGACGCCCACAATCCCAAAGATGAAGAAGACAAAGAAGCAGAGCAGCAACACATTGCCCAGCATGGGGAGAGTGTCCAGCAGGAGAGTGACCAAGATTCGCATACCTGCATGACAGAAATAGGAAAAGTCAGTCACAACAGCATGTCGTCACGGATTCGCACACATGGCGGAGACCAATAAAAAAAAACATGGCTTTATACGAACGCATCCTCTGTTATAGCTCGATGACTGCATGCTCAGTTCTCTGCATTTTCACGCGTCGTAGTTTATGAGGGCTTACTGTAGACCACAAGCATAAATGTTTACACAGGGCCATAAAATTCTAAGCAGAAGAAAGATCCACTGAGCTGAGTCTGTTTTGTCTTCTGGTGGCCCTGTGTCTGCAGCAGACCTGCCCTGGATCGCTTCACCAAACCAGGTGAGTAGAGCATAAATGATGACAATCATTTCCTATAGAGGGCTGTGGGAGTAAGTGCTAAAGCGGGGTAATCCCGCCCGCGCTGCTGGCAGCCTCTGCGTGGTGACGGGGACCGCTGCAGCCAGCTGTAATTTGCACATTTGGAAGGAGAGCGAGCGGTGATAAGCAGCAAGGCATTATCGGCAGCCAAAATAAATGAATGACAATGAAGGATCTGTCTCACAAGATAAAATGCCCGTCTACGGTGTGGGCTTACAGCACTCATTACTGTGCTGCTGTGCCGTTTCTCAAACTCATCATTTTACAGACAGGTTTAGTTCCGCAAAATCCACCAGCCTGTAAAAGAACATCCTGATGGAAGAAAACAAAACTACTGAAATACTTAATACTGCATTTCTTGGAGGAAAGCAATCTAGCTGTTGTGGTGTGTTTAGAATAAAATATACTTTGAATTTAGTTACTAAGGAAATGCAATCTAGTTCATGGAGTTTATTAAGGAAAGATTATATTCAGGACTTGTATATTAGCCTCTGAAGGCCACTGCATAGCAGATGTGGAAAGTTGTGCAGCATCCAACAATTTAAACCATTGTTTTTAATAAAGGTGCACAAACCACCACTGACATTCAGTGTCAACGTGTTCAGCGAACCCAACATTGCCACCCAGCATTGCACTATTAGTGCATTAAATTAAACCCAGAACAAGAGCACAGAAATCGATGGTAGGTGACATGCAGTCAGGTCAATATATACTTGTATGTTGACAAAGTCGTTATTTTAACTGTCTACCACAGCATATTGGGAGTTGAAATTAAATGTGAGCTCTAACTGCAGACTTTCAGCTTTAATTTTAAGGTATTTACAACCAAATCAGGTGAACAGTTCACCCAATTTGGATGTTAATACCTTTAAATTAAAGCTGAAAGTCTGCACGGCTTAAAATTTACACAAAAGAAAGGCAGTGAATCTAAAATCCTTAAGATAAACAGAGAAAGGATAAGCATCTGATTTCACCCCATTCACCCCCAACATTACTAGCCCAGCCTGTTTCAAACAGCAGTTCAAGAGTTAGCTAATACCAAATGTGATATTCACTAAATGGTGAAAGTTTATTCCGTTAAATCCATGTGAATAGAGTGTAAAATGCACTTGAGTTTGATGTTTATCTGCTCATTCACTGCAACACGTTTAATGAGGAATCTGCTAGGCGGCACATCTGGTGTGTGGTGGCTTTTAGAAGTCGCCATTATCTCTAGCAATAACAAGAGCATGTATTACTTTCATATCAGTTCTTCTCACATGTAGCAAGGGGTTAACAATGCATCGTGACACTGTGATACCATGATGCAAAACGTGATTTGTGGTGAATGGACATTCTATTAATTATGTCCTCAAAAGCAATTACATTGTTTGCATATGCAAGTTTGCAAAACACATGAACAGAGTAATACAATTTCTTCATTTGAGTTCAAAATGTCATTAGAATACCAAGTGTACTGTTACACCCCTACTTTCAGCTCACTGAAACAAGTAGAGATATGATGTTGACAGCGCTAGAAAAATTCTGAACCCTCAATTGATTCCACATTTGTTTTTGTAAGCGAAGAGAAGACATTTCATTATGATTTGAATTTGATTTGAAGTAATTGTTGGATATGCAGTCTTGTTTTGCAGAAAGAAAAGAAGAACACATTCAGAACATTTTTGCCATGTGTTTGTCATTTGTTGACTTCAAAACAAACAAAAGAATAGAGTAGTCAATAGTGCAGACTTCAACCTGTCAATAAAGAAAGAAAATGTATTAACTAGTAACTAGCTATTTAAACAGTATTTAATAGCAAAATGACAGTAAGAACTCTTGTTCTTCTAGCATTCGTACTTTATTTGCTTGGAGTATACTTCACTTCCATTAGTTAACTTGTAATTAATAAATGGTACAATTGTAATGACTCAAGAAAATGACCTGCCATAAAACCACAGTACTCTCTCACTGTTAATCTGCCACATTTAGATGCAGCATTTATGCACTTCTGGCCCACTGCTCATTAGTGACCACCAAATAACTGAGGGCTTCACCCGACCACAGAGGCTCACCGAATCTGGCAAGCCAGGGCCTAACAAGCAGCGAATCATTGACAGTGGCACACATCACTGTCCGCGACTAACTGAGCAATAATTCCCCTTGAACAGGATGTTGCTCTGCAGAGAATCTCTTCTCTGAATGCTTACACCTATGAGGCAAGAACTATGAAATACCAGTCAATGTTTTCCATCTGTTATGTTCTTTAAAATGGACTGCTCATATAGAGGGTGGGGTGTATATCTAGTTTTCATTTGTGAAAGAAGTAAGGGATCTATAACAAATTAATTTCCAATCTGTTCTTAACCAAATTAATTATCATTTTAAATACATAAAAACGCTTGGCTGAGTAAATCAGTTCTGAAATAGTTATAACAAAAATAGTTAGTAAGCCGCAGAATGGATATCTTCTGTCTGATTAGCATAAACTATTACGTCAAGCCTTGAGAATCAAAATGTTGACTGACAGATTCATGACTTCCAATGCTGGCCAACCACAGACCCTCATTTTAGCATGTAGGAGCAAATAAATTTCAAAATGCTACAACAAAAATGCCCCATGTGTAACAAAATGGTATTCACTAGCAAAGGTGACATAACTTTTTATTTTAATTGCTGCATCAAATCAAACTCTTGACTTTTAAAGACAAGATGCCATGCACTTCACAAACTGTATGTTGCTCTAAATGGCTAATAGTGACTAGCTAGCATCTAGCTTGATACACAAGGCTCATATACACACAGCAATTCAGATAGTCAGTGTGTCCCAATTCAGGGGCTGGATCCTTCGGGAGATGCGGTCCACGAAGGCATGTCCTTTGAAGGCTGGTAAGACCCGCAAAGGCTGAACCGAAATAAGACAGTCTGCCCTACGGTGGATTTTCTGTTTGCGTCACAGCACCGCTGTTCCCGTCCTTCCCGTTGCACCACAAAACGCCGCTCTTGTCAAGTTATTTTAAAGTTCTTTAAACATGGAGCCAGAAACTTTGATTTTAATTGTTTATTTTTTTCATTTGTTAGAGCTGGAGATGTTTTACCGTCGGCTACTGATGAGATTTTTTTTTGTATCGTTAACCATTCGCCTCAGTTTAAACCCAATACTTATATTTATATATTTAACTTATATTTAAAAGTCTGTTGATGTCGCCACGTTCTTGAATCCTTGCCGGAACGCAATGAACCTCAGGATATGTTGAATCCTTTGGTGCCGTGGACAAGAAGGACAGATTTCTCGGCCACGTATGAGGGAGGCTTCGAAATGGGACAGTCTAGTCGCGCCGCTGTGACGCAATCGGCATTCAGATGCAGACTCCAAAGGACGCAGCCCCTGAATTGAGACACACGGAGTCTGTATACCTCTGGGGGCAGAGTATCTGTTGCTGAGACCACCAGTGAGGAAACTCTTTTTGCTCCTAATACTTCACTGCAATACTAGAGAAACTAAAGAGCCACTACAGTTTTCAACAGGTGGTTAAAGTATTTTCATGAATAACCTTTATGAAAAATATCTTGTGGAGAAAACATCCCCTGAAGAGGACCTTTAAATACCCTCTCCTAGCTTATCCATTGCCTTAAAAAGCCATTCCCCAAGGGTGACGTCTATGAACCAGGACTGTTCTGGTCCCAGTGCTGCAGTCGAAAGAGACCCTTGGGATAGCCTGCCCTTCTGAGTCCTTCATATATGCCAAACAAGCCTAATATCAAAAGCACCAGGGAATGAGGAACCGTAAGCCATTTTTTGGGATCTAAGGCCTGGGCCATTATAATCACTCACTGTGTTTATCTCCTGCCAGCCCACGGATTAGACAGGAGACACTTCAGTGTTTAATGAATTATACTTTTGAGGACTAAAAACATGGCAATCTATCCACTGTTCAATGGATGTACCACTCTTAATGTACAAGGGCATCCATATTTGGCAGCACACCCAGCACATCTTGCAATATGAAAAAGCTGTCTTCCCAACACTAATTCACTATGGCTTGGAAAAGCTTGTCCCCTTTGACTCAATTTTCTCTCCAAGCAAAATTCATTAAGGAGCACTAAAATGGATGCACTCATGGTTCACATACTGTACAGTAACAATAATCTTATTGATTCATATACTCACATTACCAGACTTCTATCAATCACCCTTTGCTTGGGTTAGTAAGCCTTGTTTGCAGCAACATCAACTCACTAATAGAGCATTCTTTCATTTTCTCTCTTGTTTCTGGAGTGGTTCACATGCCAGTATGTGTCTGCTACTTTTGATCTTAACCTAGACGTCCAAGGTTATTACAGTCATACTGGTATACTTATGCTATTACATGCTTAATTACATAGTGAGTTACACAATGAATTACACTTATATTCAATTTACGTTCTGTATTGACAGGTTTGAATCCAAACATTCAACAATTCTTCTGTTTGTTTTGAAGTCAGCAAATGACAAAAAGCATGGCAAAATTGGCAAAAAAACATGGAAAAAGGGATTGGTTTACTTTCCCCTAAATAAGACTAAACTCTACAATAACTTTTCATCAAACTCAAATCATAATAAAATATCTCCTCTTCTACTAACAAAAACAAATGTAGTATCAAATGAAAGTTAACAATCTGAACTTT